TTAAGTATATCATTTGACTCATATTACTTTTTAAAAAGGAAACGAAAAAAATGAAATACATATATGTTCCAATGGACCTCTTATCGGTTCCTTGTATTTCATAAATTACATGCATTTTAAAGAATAGAAAGGATTATAAAAAATCAATAAGACGTATAATTTCATCAATACAAGTGTCGTTTTTGCGATCGATCATGATACCGGTGTTAACGTTTAAAAATTTGATTAATATATTATTTAAAATTATCTCATTACAATCGTTAAAAATTTGATATCGTATAATTCTGATAAATCTTAATTTACAATGATTTTGATGATATTCATTATGCGATACGTTGCAATTCGGCTATCGACATTTCAGAACAATTTCAAAACGATAACCTCTAGTAGTCAGCGTTTGTCAAAAGGTTAAAATAGGTTAGAAACATTATTATGTGGCAAATTGTAAATTTCTAAATTTACAATACAATGTCAATAAGTAATTTTGCGACACACCGAACACGTCAATCATTTATTTTGTTAAAATTTTGACTTACTTGTTAAAGAAACCAAATTGTTCATGTAAGTTACACTATTTTCGTTACTATATTTGATGATAACCAAACTCGTATAATAACGTAATTTTGCTGTGTAGTTAATAATCAAATGCTTAGTTGATATGCTTAGTTCCGGAAGCCCTAAGGATTCCCAGAATGATACTAATGCCGCCAACGATACTTTTGACCAAAGGCCATTTAAGAGAAAACTTACACGATCATCTAATTCCAGTGAAAACTCTGATATGGGAACAGAGGTAAATATGTCTTTATTGTATTGATAAATTTTGCAAGTCTTGTTATTATGATGTTACTTGTATTTGACTTTGCAGGATGTTATATTTTATGAAGGCATTCATGATGAACGACATGACTTGTTGGAGGATTCATCCTGCAACAAATTTTATCAAAATAGACCAAGAACTTTGAAAATGAAGAACAGCTCACCCAATGTAGTAGAGCTGCAATGTGATACGTCTTTTAATCCCAAATCTGTTTTTAGTGAAGAAACAGTATGGGTAATTACTGTACAATTATTTATCCCGTTTCTGCTGGCAGGATTTGGGATGGTTGCTGCCAGTCTAATGTTAGATTTAGTGCAGGTAATTTTTTTGAGTGAGAGAAATGAGAAAATTAAATAATAATTTCTTCATTAGTCTTATGTTGCAGCATTGGCCAGTTTACCAAGATATACCAGAGGTATATATATTAGTACCTGCATTATTAGGCTTGAAAGGAAACTTGGAAATGACTTTGGCCTCCAGACTGTCAACACAAGCTAATTTGGGTCTTATGGACACTATGAAGCAACAAATCAATATGGTTGCAGGCAACTTATCATTAATTCAAGTACTACATTCATTTTCTTGAAAGATAAGCATATCTTTTTTTATAGACTCTAACTTGGCAACCATTATATCTATGTATATATATATATATATATATATATATATATATATATATATATATATATATATATGTTGTTTGAAGAAAAACACTAATATCCTGCCTAATTATATTCCATCAAAGTAGAGCATAAAGCAAAACAGTACTAAATGGGGCTTTCTTTAAATGTATTTAATGGGGTTAGGAAAAATTGGACAAGAAAATCAATATTCTTAAAGAAACAAATAAAATTCTAATCAAATCGGATCATTCAGTCTATTCTGTTTACAATTTTTTGCTTTTCTGTGAACAAAGCACATAATGTAGTTTCTGCCTTCGTTCTTTTGAAAGTTGTGGATAAGTATATAAAGAATCTAAAACTTTGGCTTACTATTGAAACTCTGCCAAAGTTTGAATTCAAAGCAGATTTAAGCCTTATATTACTGTACCACTATTGCTACCAAAGACTAAATAACTACCAAAAATATCACTTTTATTTGAATTTATTTTTGCAATTAATCCAATGCCAATAAATAATTGGCAAACTAAGTAATGGAGTATGTAAAACTGTAGTATTTTTAATACTACAATTCAATTAAATTCTATAAGTCTTATTGATTTGTGTAGAATACCATTAGAATCTAGTAGTAATCTTATGGAATTGAAAGCAATGTGAAAGTATGTTCATCCTAGCTTTGTTTCAGTGAGAATTTAACCAAAAATTTATTTTGTTATTGTTACTGCTATGTTTTATTAAATCAGCAATATTTTTAGTGTCAAGCGATTGTGGTTGGTTTCTTAGCATCTTTGGCTGCAGTTGCGATGGGTTGGGTGCCGGAAGGACATTTCGACTCGAATCATGCTTTTCTTTTGTGTGCTTCAAGCATATTAACAGCTTCTTCAGCTAGTTTTATGCTCGGTCAGTTATATTTCATGCAATTTCTTATACTCATATTTATATATTGCATACAATTTGCTCATAGTAACAAATTAAATTGTATTTCAATAGGATTGATCATGGTAGCCGTAATAGTACTTTCTAGGAGACTGAACATAAATCCAGATAATGTTGCAACACCTATTGCAGCTAGTTTAGGAGATTTAACTACATTGGCTCTGCTATCATACTTATCCTCATATTTATATAAAAGGATAGGTACATAACTAAATTTAAAATCTTTTCAAAATAAAAGTAATTTATTATTATTCAATATGAATTTATTAAGAATATTTTCTATATATCAATTATAGTAATTATATTTGTATTTATTTAGAAACTGCACCACATATATCCATTATAATAATTCTATTTGGAATATTATTGGTACCGCTCTGGGGATTAGCAGCTTCAAAAAATGTTCATACAAAAGAAGTACTAAATTCTGGTTGGACACCAGTTATATCTGCAATGCTCATTAGCAGGTAGATTTTATTGTATTAAAAAAATATTTATACATGGTGTCAAAAAATTAGGAAAAAAATTCAAATCTCATGAATTTTGAAAGTTATGAGCTTTTAAGTACAACCTAAAGCTTGGTCCAAACTGCGACCATTTATTGGTTATTGTGGCTAATTTTTATTACTTTTGATCAATTAAAAGTTGCAACTGTAACACTAAACAAAATTTCTAGGACCACAGCCAAAATAATAACACAATTGCCTCAAGTTTTCTAGAATTAAGACTTAAAATAAAATTTAAAAGATTTTTTATTTTGTTGACATTGTGCTTTAGGTAACCCTGCATGTATATTTGTTTACAAATGAAAATTATATATATATATATATATATATATATATATATATATATGTTTCTCATAATGTTTAATTATATAGTATAGGAGGACTTATACTAGATTTTACAGTATCAAACTATAAAGGCATTGCTGTCTTTCAACTTATAATAAATGGTGTTGGTGGCAACTTGGTTGCTGTACAGGTTTGTCAATATGTTATTCTTCTTTTGTATTAAAAATTATAATATAAATTTCTTAGGCCTCAAGAATTTCCACTGCCTTGCATATGGAGCAAAGAAGAGGTTGCTTGCCAGCTGGTCAGAATGCACTTTGCCTAAACCCTATAACATTATTCTGCAACAAAGGTATGTTCAAATGTTTTGTATGAAATTTGATAATTTATTAACAGTTAAATTTTTCAGGTGGCCATGCTCGAACTGCAAGGGTTCTATTGGCAATGGTTGTTCCTGGTCATTTAATATTTTCCTA